GCTCAATGCCCAAAGATTGCAGACACTCATACATGAACCGCAATTTAAGGTCATGGGTCTCCGCAATGGTTACCTGTATGAAGCGCACCAACTTGTCATTCGAGTCCAAAATCACTGCATCATAGCCCCCCTGATTCCATTTCAACGGCTTCAGGCACAACCTTGCTTCTCCTTGCTTCAGAGCCTTCTGGACTTCGCTTGCTTCAAGAGGTATTACGCTACACCTTTGCCAGTCGTCGTGCTGCTCGGACTCGGCTTGATTCTCTGACCTGAGGTTGACCTGCAGCCCTGGATCTCGTCCTATCCGAGCAAAGAACAGCATCTCAAACAAAATCCCCCGAAGAGACGGATTCTCAGTCATGCCAGGGAGCTGCTCAATCTTCCTCACAAACGATTCTCCGAGCTTCTCTGCTAGCTCCCTGGCAACAAACCTACTGATAAAAGTCCAGTACACCTGGTTTCCGATTCGATACTTCCCATGCAGCCGATTGACAAACTGCTTTGAAAGGTCGCCCACGTTCATTTCAAAGAGCGTCGTGAAATTAGAGACAGAGTCCATCGCTGCACAGAGATCTTGGATAGCTTGATCTGTCGTACATTCGAACATATGGCGGCATGAGCCTCCAACAATCTGATACTTTGACTCGACATCTCTCGACCTTGTCTCCTCCGAGCTTTCTTCCGCATCCAAGCTCCATTTCATTACACCGGCCACACTCTTGTAGAACATTTCGTACTTTATGGCCTCCTGGTACTCCTCCAGTGCCCACGAGTACACCATCAACTCCTCTACCTTCTCCATTCTATCGAGCTCAATTTTTTTCTTTTCTCGAGAACTCATCGACGTCGTGATGACAACCCGCCGGTTTTCCCGGTCCTTGTGAAGCCACCACATGCATTCACTGAGCGCCAGATCATGTACATCCTGTTGGTAACCGTCCAAGGACACAAGATACTTCTTCTTGCCCTGAGACCATTCTCTTAGGACCCATCTCAGCATCTCTTCTGCACCATTGCGTGGCAAATCAGCGATTCTCAAAACTCCATCATCAACTTGGAGCACTTGAACTGAACTCCACTTCCACAGCCGCACACACATCACCATCCATCCCTCCTCCATGCTCAGCGATTGTATAAAGGACATGGTCGTCGACGACTTCCCCGTCCCTGGAGGCCCTAAGATCCAACCCAGACTCCCGTCCTTACACACTCTGTCCTTAATGAACTCCCACTGCTCATTGAAGCATTTCCTGCAGTAGAGCACCCGCTGCCTTCCTTGTCCAGAGCTGTGCTGATCCCAAAACGACCCATCGAGACAAAAAAAATTTCCCTCCTCCATATACCCCACCGCGTCACGATTCCGAGTTATCTCCTTCCAAGAGATGTGGTTCTCTCTCTCTCGGAGACCTTTCCAATCCTTTCGGAGCTCCTCCTTCTCCTTCTCTAGTTTCTTCTCCTGGTCTGCAAGGTCCTTCAGAACATCCTGCCAGTACTCCTTGATTTCGCCTTCGAGAAAATTCTAATTTCAAAGAGTCTTATCATTTCGGATCTTCTCCTCCTTCTTTCGGAGCTCCTCCTTTCGGAGCTCCTCCTTCTCCTTCTCTAGTTTCTTCTCCTGGTCTGCAAGGTCCTTCAGAACATCCTGCCAGTACTCCTTGATTTCGCCTTCTCCTTTCGGAGCTCCTCCTTCTCCTTCTCTAGTTTCTTCTCCTGGTCTGCAAGGTCCTTCAGAACATCCTGCCAGTATTCCTCTTCCTTCTTTCGGAGCTCCTCCTCCTTCTCTTTTCGAAGCTCCTCTTCCTTCTTTCG